ATCTATATTTCTGTTTTTGTGCCAGTGCCATACTGTCTTGATTACTGCAGCTTTGTAGTATAGTCTGAAGTTAGGGAGCCTGATTCCTCCAGCTCCATTTTTCTTTCTCAAATTGCTTTGACTGTTCGGGGTCTTTTGTGTTTCCGTACAAATTGTGAAATTTTTTGTTCTAGTTCTGTGAAAAATGCCATCGGTAGTTTGATAGGGATTACATTGAATCTGTAGATTGCTTTGGGTAGTATAGTCATTTTCACAATGTTGATTCTTCCAATCCAACAACATGGTATATCTCTCTCCATCTGTTGGTATCATCTTTAATTTCTTTCATCAGTGTCTTATAGTTTTCTGCATACATGTATTTTGTCTCCTCAAGTAGGTTTATTCCTAGGTATTTTATACTTTTTGTTGCAGTGGTAAATGGGAGTGTTTCCTTAATTTCTCTTTCAGATTTTTCATCATTAGTGTATAGGAATGCAAGAGATTTCTGTGCATTAATTTTGTATCCTGCTACTTTACCAAATTCATTGATTAGCTCTAGTAGTTTTCTGGTAGCATCTTTAGGATTCTCTATGTATAGTATCATGTCATCTGCAAACAGTGACAGCTTTACTTCTTCTTTTCCGATTTGGGTTCCTTTTATTTCCTTTTCTTCTCTGATTGCCGTGGCTAGGACTTCCAAAACAATGTTGAATAATAGTGGTGAGAGGGGGCAGCCTTATCTTGTTCCTGATCTTAGTGGAAATGGTTTCAGTTTTTCACCATTGAGAATGATGTTTCCTGTGGGTTTGTCATATATGGCCTTTATTATGTTGAGGGAAGTTCCCTCTATGCTTACTTTCTGGAGAGGTTTTATCATAAATTGGTGTTGAATTTTGTCAAAAGATTTTTCTGCATCTATTAAGATGATCATATGGTTTTTATTCTTTAATTTGTTAATATGGTGTATCACATTGATTGATTTGTGTATACTGAAGAATCCTTGCATTCCTGGAATAAACCCCACTTGATCATGGTGTATGATCCTTTTAATGTGCTGTTGGATTCTGTTTGCTAGTATTTTGTTGAGAATTTTTGCATCTATGTTCATCGGTGATATTGACCTATAGTTTTCTTTTTTTGTGATATCTTTGTTTGGTTTTGGTATCAGGGTGATGGTGGCCTCGTATAATGAGTTTGGGAGTGTTCCTCCCTCTGCTATATTTTGGAAGAGTTTGAGAAGGACAGGTGTTAGCTCTTCTCTAAATGTTTGATAGAATTTGCCTGTGAAGCCATCTGGTCCTGGGCTTTTGTTTGTTGGAAGATTTTTAATCACAGTTTCAATTTCAGTGTTTGTCATTGGTCTGTTTATATTTTCTGTTTCTTCCCGGTTCAGTCTCTGAAGGTTGTGCTCTTCTAAGAATTTGTCTGTTTCTTCTAGGTTGTCCATTTTATTGGCATAGAGTTGCTTGTAGTAATCTCTCATGATCCTTTGTATTTCTGCACTGTCAGTTGTTGCTTCTCCTTTTTCATTTCAAATTCTGTTGATTTGAGTCTTCTCCCTTTTATTCTTGATAAGTCTGGCTAATGGTTTATCAATTTGTTTATCTTCTCAAAGAACCTCCTTTTAGTTTTATTGATCTTTGCTATTGTTTCCTTCATTTCTTTTTCATTTATTTCTGATCTGATCTTTATGATTTCTTTCCTTCTGCTAACTTTGGGGGGGTTTTGATCTTTTTTCCCTAATTGCTTTAGGTGTAAGTTTAGGTTGTTTACTTGAGATTTTTCTTGTTTCTTGAGGTAGGGTTGTATTGCTAATGAACTTCCCTCTTAGAACTGCTTTTGCTGCACCCCATACGTTTTGGGCCAGCATATTTTCATTGTCATTTGTTTCGAGGTATTTTTTGATTTCCTCTTTGATTTCTTCAGTTATCTCTTGGTTACTTAGTAGCATATTGTTTAACCTCCATGTGTTTGTATTTTTTACAGTTTTTTTCCTGTAATTTATATATAGTCTCATAGTGTTGTGGTCGGAAAAGATACTTGATACGATTTCAATTTTCTTAAATTTACCAAGGCTTGATTTGTGACCCAAGATATGATCTATCCTGGAGAATGTTCCATGAGCACTTGAGAAGAAAGTATATTCTGTTGTTTTTGGATGGAATGTCCTATAAATATCAATTAAGTCCATCTTGTTTAATGTATCATTCAAAGCTGTGTTTTCTTATTTATTTTCATCTTGGTTGATCTGTCCATTGGTAAAAGTGGTGTGATATGATTGTGTTACTGTCTATTTCCCCTTTTATGGCTGTTAGCATTTGCCTTATATATTGAGGTGCTCCTATGTTGGGTTCATAAATATTTACAATTGTTATATCTTCTTCTTGAATTGATCCCTTGATCGTTATGTAGTGTCCTTCTTTGTCTCTTGTAATAGGCTTTATTTTAAAGTCTGTTCTCTCTGATATGAGAATTGCTACTCCAGCTTTCTTTTGATTTCCATTTGCATGGAATATCTTTTTCCATCCCCTCATTTTCAGTCTCTATGTGGCCCTAGGTCTGAAGTGGGTCTCTTGTAGACGGCATACATACAGGTCTTGCTTTTGTATCCATTCAGCCAGTCTGTGTCTTTTGGTTGGAGCATTTAATCCATTTCATTTAAGGTAATTATCAATATGTTCCTATTACCATTTTCTTAATTGTTTTGGGTTTGTTATTGTAGGTCTTTTCCTTCTCTTCTGTTTCCTGCCTAGAGGAGTTCCTTTAGCATTTGTTGTAAAGCTGGTTTGGTGGTAAGTTGACATTTTTGGGTCAAGCTTTTGTTAGGTAGGACCAGGGAGGCATTTTTTCTGGAGCTAATTTTGCCCAGTTAGCAAGGCAAAACTCTCTAAGTACTCTACTCAATGATTCATGAATTATGGGAGTTTTCTATTCTGATTGCTGGGAATAGACACTATGCCTAGTTCTCTATGCCTTCCAGGGATTGTTCCCTCTCATCCTGATTCCTTCCCCAGCCTCAGGTAGTTTCCTCACACATCTGTGCTAATCACTACTCAGATGAATAATTGAGGGAACTCTCTGCTGATTACTCAAAGGGACCTTCTGCAGAGACAGCTGGAGTTCCCTCTGTGCAGCTCCCTCCTCTTCAGTGCTCTGCTCTGTGAACTCCAGTCACCTTGGACTCCCAAGTTTCCCTGCTCCATCTCTGCAACTCAGAGAGACTTCCAGGATCTGCCTGGGTTTCCCGTCCCTGTGCCACAGCCTAGAAACTCTTTCCAGTCAGTAAGATGTGGCATTTGTAGGGATCACCTCATTTGTTTCCCATCTCTTGGGGATTGCCCTTTGGTGTTGGCCATATGCAATGTCCTATGGACCATTGTTTCATATCTTTTGTCCAGTTTTTTTAGTTGCATCAGTAGGAGGGTAAATCTAGTCCCTCTTATTCCAGTTTAGTCGGCATAGAAGTCATTCTAATAGTGTTTTAATGGATGAATAATTTGAGGATATAACATAACTTGGGGCATAATGGGCTACCCTATACAAAGAATTTTTCACCTTTGTCTTATACATTATTAAGTTACGTTTTTCCATAACTTTTCCTCCAGTGATGATTTTAATACTTCTGTTGCATACGTAATTTCATGGCAGTTTTCCCCTACCTCACTATCCTTGTTATCTCATCCTATTGTGTTTTCATCTCAACTTGCTCACCCCTGAGGCTTTCTGCTCCTGTTTAATAGAAGTTACACCTTCTTGCAACCTACCGAGGGTCTTGTCCGGTAGGAAATTATTTCCAGAGATCTTGTCCTCTGAGACTTCATGATGAAGCTTCCTTTCCTTGTTTCGCAACTCTGTTTCGTGGGTCCCATGTTGGTCTCTTCACAGGACCCTTTGTAACATACAGAGTATGTCAGTGGCCTTTGGTCTCACCCACTGTCCATCTGGGTGATGGCTAACTCCCTTCTCAAACCACAACCTAACCGCTAGGACCTGGTAGGCTTTCATCTAGCGCAGCTCTGTTGGCCTGAGCTGAACTGTTTGCCATTGCTTGGGACCTTGGTTCTCTGAATAAAGAGTGTACTGGTGGCATTGCTTTCCCCAGCAGGCAGTACTATCAAGGCTATCTCTCCCTCTGCCTGCACCTTCAGCCCTCTATTATTTGGTGGTACAACACTTGGGTTAGATTTTCCACTGCCAGTCTTCCTTTTACTGTTTCCTGTGTTTTCTCTGAGTTGCATCCTCTTATATGATATTGAGATCATGGATATAAAGAGGCTGGGGAAAAAGAGATAGCCCTTGAAGTGCCTCAAAAGAGTATGATTCACATGTAAGATATCAGTGCCTGGTTTTCTGGTTAGTAATAACATCATATTTCTTAACCAGAGGACAAAGAGACAGTCTTCCTACCTATGAGAAGGAAAATTTCAGAGGGAAAACTCACTCTATTCCTGTGGTATGATAAGCCACTTTCTATACTTTCCTTAGGCAACTGAGTAGGCTTTCAGTAAGTCACAATTCTTCCTGGTTTCTGGAAATTAGTTGTCAATCCCAGTTTTCTCTTTCGAACTTTCATCTTTTTTATTTATCTTTAAATGCATTTGAGAAGAAAATTGTAAAACAGTATGTTGGTAAATAACCAATAGTCTGGATTTTTGGAATCCCAGACAAAATTACCTCTACAAACTGGGTGTGTTCCCCCCAAAATTAGGCTAAATGACATTTACCTGTTGACTATTGATATTACTAAAAATCACTATCATCTTTTCTTAAAATTCAGAGAGCATAGGTGAATTTCTTATAAGGCTATAGACTCTTAAAAGGGTCAGTATGGGGTTCATTCAGAAAGTATGAACTCTACAATCTGGATTTCTAGGGCCACTGATTTGATCATATCTATGTAATCCATGCTTCTGAAGACACTCATAAAATTCTTGTCTCTACCATGAAAAGAATGGGGCAACAAAGGGTTTCATGTTTACTAAACATTGTGTCCTTGGATGCTTTCCTCTTGCCTGTCACAGGATCAAAGATCACCGAGAAGCAAGTGCCAACTAAAGACCAAGTGTCTGTGACCCCCGTGGGAAACCATGATGCTCAGTCTTCAGGCTCAGAATCCCCCATAGTGTACCTGAAGGATGTCATGTGTTACCTGTCCTTGCTGGAAACGGGGAGACCTCAGGATAAGCTAGAGTGTAAGTATGTACCCTGTCAAGGGGCTTCGACTTTTTCCTAGAGGAAGAACTAGTGTCCTGTTTATTGTTCTAAACAGGCTGGAGGTTGATCTGGGATCCTGGGGATGGGTTCTGCCTCCTTGGGGGAGCTTTTCTGCCCTGTCACCAGCAGTGACATGAATATTTCCTAGAATCTTTCCTGGAACACAGTACCAGTTGTATAGGGTGGAAGGTGCATTTGAGACCTTGGTATTGAGAACCAAGATCTGGAAGGGTAAGGGGTCTCTGTAAAGGGTGAAGACCCTTCCTTTGCTGGCAGGATTTCCTGAAAGCCTCCAATCAGAAAGCTGCTGCCTCCTCTTAGAAGGTTTTTCAAGGGAAGATTTTCAACATCTGTCTTCCTTCCCCTATTCCATGCCCAATCAACTCTTTAACTATGAAGAACCCTTTCTTTTCTTGAGATCTAATCAACCTCTATCTTGTTAAAGCTTATTTCCATGTCTTCACCCACCCCCACCCCAAGTGTTTTGGCCTCTTGAGAAAGAGGGCTAGTTAATTAAGGGAGTTGAGCTTGGTTTCAAAAAACATGTCTTCAGAAGGAGAATAATAGTTTGGGGCAGAAAGGAAAGCCCACAGTGGCTGAAACAGCCTGCAGTCTCGCAGATGACTCACTCTGGGGACGGTCTCGCTGACTTTTGCGAGCCTACAGGCAAACTTTGAAACAGATGACAGGTAGGACCTTGTTAAAAATATATATTGTTTTGGCATCTCTTGGGATCTTAGTAGACACTGAGGGAAAAGCATACACATTATAGCAAAAGTCAAAATTCCAGCTAATCGGACTAGTCAGTGAAACTTAAGCAAAACAAAACAAAATGAAACAGTTTGCTCTCTTAGCCAGCTTAAAAACCTCCCCCATAGGTTTGCAGTGTTAACAATTACAAGTCTTAAATGCTAATTTGGAAGCAAATGTACCAGATTTCTGTTTCTTCTGACTAATGTTAAAAGGGAAATGTCAAATTATTTCCCACATTCAGTTGGATTTTGAGTTTCAGGCATTATATTTGTTCATAACTACCAGAGAGGAGCAAATGTGGCCAATTCCTCGTATTAGTGCCTCTCAGACTGAGTCCTGTAATGGTAATGAAAAGAAACTGTATTTCTAAAAGCTTTTTATTACAGAGAATTTCAAACACAGATAAAAATAGAGAATACAAAGAACTTCCGTGTGCCCATCAACCACCTTCAACAATTACCAGCTTGTGGTCAGTCGTGTTTTATTTATACCTCCCACTCATTTCTTCTGCCCCAGATTATTTTGAAGCAAATTCCAGACATATAATTTCATCTGTAAATATCTCAGTATGTACCTCTAAAATTATATAACTTTTTCTTAAATATAACCACAACACGACAATCAGATCTAAAGAAAACGATTCCTTACTATTATCAAATATTCAGTCAGTATTCATTATTCAGTCAGTATTCAGTCAGATATTCAGTCAGTATTCATTATTTTTCCTTATTTGGGGAACAATTCAAGCACTGTTTGTTTGAATTGGGATCCAAGTAAGGTCCATCCATACATTGCCATTTGTTACTACGTCTCTTTAGTCTCTCTTCATCTTTTGCTTATTTTTTTCCCTAC